CCAGCCTTCAACAGATCACAGAGAACCTGATTAAAAAATACGGGACCCATTTCCTTCTCTCAGCAACTCTTGGAGGTAAACGTTTAGCTTTCCTCCCAAGTATTACACTCATAAATGATAGATTCAAGCTGTATCAGCAAAGATTATATTATATTAAAAATATTTCCTGATGCACAACTGCATTTGCAGTGGGCGAAATGTTCCTAAACGTAACAGCTCTGAGAGTTCAGACAATGTATTAAGATGAATAGTATTTATTCCTTAAATAAACTCAGGTGAGACAAAAAGAGTCACTAGTAAATTGCATGGAGTTACCTGCAAACATTTGTGCATAATATGTGGTCCTCTGAATATGTGTTTGGAAGCAGAGTCACTGCCTTCGGTGGGATTTGTTCTCAGGTAACATGCAAAGGGTTGCAGCTATGCAGCTCAATCCAGTTTTATTGAAAGCTATGCCATGCCAAAGCACAATGAAGAGATCCAGGGCACAATCAGAAAGATCAGATGTCCAAATAGCACGAATATATAGGGATTGTGTAGAAACTGTAGTCCATAGTGATAGTGCTTCTGCTCTACCTATTGCAGTGTCATATCCTGACAATATCTGTCATGATCACCACAACAGCCTTCCCCATCAGGGAACAGCACTTGTCTCCAGGAAAGATGTGTCTTAATAACATTTCCCTGCAACCTCCCTCTGAGAGCCACAGTCTGCAGCCTCACAACCATGCTGGCAAATATTTCCATCACTGTCAGCTCTTTAGAATCAGTCAGTGGCAGAAAGATATGAAACATTAGAATATGCCTCTCAGGCAACCTCCAACTGGTACTGCAGCCCAATGCTCTGTGCTCGAGAATGCTCCGCTTTCAGCTGACAGATCCAAGTTCAAATCTTTCTTTCTACCCCTAGAATATCTTTGCAGATAGCAATTCAATAGACAGCACTACAGTAATGGATAAACAGCCACGTGTTCCAAAGCTGTGGTTTGAATAAATGTTACCTCAAAGGTTCTTTCTCCTACTACCTGTGTTACCTTTCCTCACCTCCACCCCCAATAATTTGTGGAGAAGGGCATTACATTATTTGCTTTTCAGGTGAGCGGGTCCTAGAACTTAAAATAATACTTGCTATGATCCAAGGGACCCTGCCCCCAAAGGTGCAGCCTTTCATTGCCCCTCAGAATGACAGCTTGTCATTCTAGACGGTCACTTTCAAACCTTCATGGCTCCTGTTGGAATGTGCATGACAGCTAAGCTGGGTTGCTAAATATAAGTTACGGGCAACTTAGCTTTTAATGCATTAAAAGAAAAGCGGGGGGTGGGGGGGAAGATGTTTTAAAAAATTGAATCATCTTGTACGTATATACTGTAATTGTAAATAACAGCATGAAGCCAGTTGGGTGTCCTTGGGCCAGTCCCTCTCTCTTAGTCCTAGGAAATAGACAATGGCAAACCACTTCTGAAATCTTGCCAAGAAAATTGCAGGGACTTGTCCAGGCAGTTGTCAGGAGAACAACACTGACTCAAAGACACCTAAATCAATGAATAAATCTGTACTTTACCCACACAAACATTCACTCCTCCCAGTAATATTTCTGGCCCCTGGGAGGGGTTTCATATTTTTTGCTTCTCCCCGCTCCATTGCTAATGAGCTAAAAAAAAAAAAGAGTTGTAACTTTGAATAAGATGCAGTTTTCTATCCAGAAATAGCTTTAAGTAGAGAGTGAAGATACATGACCACTTCCTCAAGAGAAAAGGAACTAATTCTAGCTTTAGGCTGTGTATAACATGGTGGTCAAGAGAATTGCTGTAGAAGACAGTAGCCAAAGCAGTTCACACCTTTCTCTAGGGATTTATCACACTAGGATCGATTGGTGTGGAGAATTTGTGATTGATTAAAGCCAGAGTTCAAAGAAGGACTTAAAGCAGCAGTATGGATTTTTAAAAATCCATAAGTCACATCTAGTATTAGCAACAAAACAAGCTTGCCAAGTGACTAAAGACAATTAGTGATATTTCACTATGTGAATGATTGTTTGGTTTAAATAATACCTTTTCCATTGCCAGATTAACTTCACCTTTCCTCTTTTACCCACATTAACCATACTTTTTAATGCTATGATGTGTTAAAGGTGCCAACTACTGGGGCAACTAACTGAGTTTTTGCTTGCCATGTAAAATAATTCTCTCGGTTATTACTGGATTGAACTCTACTATGTAGCAAGACGTTTCCCAGAGGCAGGCAGATAACCTTAGTTACCTACTACTCAGTGAGAAATGATTGCAACAGATATTCTAATAGAGGTGTTTAGGCTAATGTTTTGTCAGGCAGGAACTTTAAGCAACATCAAGCATCCTGTGGATCGGAAGTTGGTCCATTTTTATTTGTAGCTCCAAGGGTTTTGGTCAGAGAAGGAAACTGCAATGTACTTTAGTGTGATACTTGCAAGGAGCCAGAATTTTCCAGGTCCAGGAAGGCTGTTGACATCCAAAGGCCCATTAGATACTAATGTCTGATAGGAAGGTTTCAGATCAGGATAACCTATATTGTTGAGAGATGACACCAGATTCATTATAAAATATTCCTATATTTCTTTCTCTGTGATTTTAAATATATGTTAAAAATGAAAGAAACTTCACCAACCCTATAGAAACTACAAGATGCTATTTAAATAAATGCAGGAAACTAATTTCTCAGTTAAAATGGATGAGAACAGACAATAAAGAGATCTCTTTCTTTACTTCTTCAGAGAAGGAATCCTATACTTTGGGGACAGTCAGAGTTGGCTCCCATTCTCAGGATTTGTTACAAATGTAGAATATGTAAGGTTTACCCCATTCGACTAGAGAAACTCTCGTGATGCGTGTGTTCAACAAAGAAGTTTACTCAAGCGTAACGTACGTAATTACAGACAAAGCCAGGACTGGCTTGGTACATCTTACAATACAATTTATAGTCCCCCCCATTCCCGCGCTTTGCTCCGTTGCTTGGTTACAAATCACCCGCAATAATCCCCCCCTTCACTGAAATGGCAGATTCAGTTCAGTTCTTTTGTCTCTTGATTGCTTTACCCCGCTGGTGTGGTCGTAGTCTTCGTTGGGTCTGCTGGTGTGGTCGTAGTCTTCGTTGGGTCTG